TAGAATCACAACACTTCTGAGCAAGGGTTCTTGTATGAGCCAGCTACAGTTACTCTAATAAACTACCATAGATAGGAACCTTACAAACACTGACATTCAGTGACAACAGTGAAGCTCTGAGGCAGTCTGGGATCAGGACGCCAGCACGGCTGAGTTCTGGTTGAAGGTCTTCTTCCAGACTGCAGTCTGGCAACTTCTCACTGTATCTTCAGTGTCCCAGAGAGGAAGCAAGATCCCTCAAGACTCTTGGGGAGCACTAGTCCTATGCACTAGAATTCCACTCTCATGATCTCATCTAATCCTAATTACCACCCCAATGCTTCACCTCCTGATCCCACCACCTCATGGAGAGCAGGATTTCAAATAGATGAGTGGGAGGAAGGGTGGCAAATAGTCAACTCATAACAGAAATCAGTTCTTGGAATGGTTTTCCAGGTACACTAAAATCCTTTTGAAAGACAGATCCCATTCACAGTGACAACATATCAAAATATACGTCATATTTACATGGATAATTTTTGAGCGTGCACAAGCCCAAAAAATTAACCTACCAATTCATATCAAATAAGAATGTTCACATTCAGTTATCAAGGAAACTGTAATGGCAGGTAGAGGTGCTCTCAAACCACCTTATGGTAATGGGTAAACTCACTTTCTGGTGAATAAATCTGCCAAGTGTTAATCAAAACTATTAAATATGGGCACATCTTTTGATCCAATATTCCACTCACCATTTTTCCCAGTAATAAGGCAGAGCACAAAAGGATATTGGCTAAAATAATGTTCATTGTAGCACTGCATGTCACACGTCACAAAGATTGAAAAGTATCCGATGTCCAAGAATACAGGATAATGCAAAGTCACACAATACAACACTACAGAGTCACTAAAAAATAATACTAGGGGCCCTCCCTGGTGGCGCAGCGGGTTAAAGCACAGCACTAAGAAGCTAAAGCCACTTTGGCATGAGTTTGATCCCCAGCCCCAGAGGTGACCCACATGGGGTGGCAGACCTCTCCTGGCCCACCCACCACTCCCCTCAGCGGTGTACCTCATCAGCCAGCCTGTTCTGCTCCCCACTCTATCTCTGGTGAATACTTTCACCCACCTCTGCAACTCCGGCCAATACCCCAGTTCTGAATGCATAAATATATAAATCTTAAAAAAAAATACTAATAATATGAAATACTAAATGAAAACAAGTTCAATGAAATAGCATGAATCCAGTTTTACTTAAAAAAATAAGTATAGCTTTGGCATATCCACATACACACATTTATCTGTATATACCTACAATACATACATACAACACAGGACAAATAAATTAAAATTAAACTATAAATTAGCTAAAAGAAATGAAGGCTAGAGAGAGAAGCAATTTATCCCAAGCCTTCCTACCCCACATGTCCTTTATCAATATAGCATTCTTTTTTTTTTTTAGATTGATTTATTTATGCATACAAGAACTGTGGTACAGGCCGAAGGTGTGAGGGGTAAGATGATTCACCAGAGACAGAGTGGGGAGCAGAACAGGCAGACCAACGAAGTCCACTGCTGAGGGGGGCAGTGGAGAAGACAGGAGAGGTCTGCCACACCACGGGGGCCACCACCTTGGCAAGGGATCGAACTCATGGTGCAGTGACTGCCGATAGCTTCTTAGTGCTGCTTTTAACCCCTGCACCACCAGCGAGGGCCCCAATACAGCAGTCTTATCATGAAACTCCTGGACATAAAGAAGGCTTGAAAGGCCAGTCAGCATGGCACCTATCTCCTTTCAACTCCACCTTCCCCCAAATGCCACCACTCTAACAATCAACCCACTATCTCACCGAAGAATAGTAAGAGATATTAGCAATTTCTCCTGAATTCCTATAAGGTAGCTACTGGGCCACCTCCGAAGACACTTGTCTGGAAACTCTAAAGAAGCCATTCTGATCCCTGCTGGTTATCAGCAAACAGAATGCAAACCTCTGCAGTCAGGACCTGTGATTAGGCTCGGACTACAAGCAGTACAGCGTCACCCCAATTTCATCTCACTAGATTAACTATTCTGAAGGTCCATATTTGCTTTTGGCTCTACCTTTTTCTTCCTACTTAGGAACAAAAGTCTTAGTGATATTAAGAGATAAGGGGCCTTCCTCGTGGCGCAGGGTATTAAAGTCAGCACTATCAAGTGATCAGCACGAGTTAGATCCCCAGCCAGCAGACTTCTCCTGTCTCTCCAGCTGCTCCCCTCAGAAGTGTATTTCAGTCAGTCTGCCTGTTCTGCTTCTCACCCCTCACACCTCTGGCCTACATCCCAGTTCTTGTATGTATTAAAAAAAAAAAAAAAAGTCTTCAAAAGAAAGAGTAAGTGCTCTAATACTAAATATTAGGATAACAAATATAGAGTAAATTCATTCACCATGCATGCCTGGGGGTGGGGTTAAGATAGCATAGCCTGGAAGTAAATAACTGAAAACTTTAGGATTAAACAAAAGCAAATGCTTCTTTTACATTAAACAGTGACACAAACATAGAGTTTGGTCCTACAAATAAGCAAACAACTAAAACTTTGAAATTTCAATATCCTGTTCAGAAAAGACTACAAATAATGAGGCAGTTCCTCATTAAAACTAGGATAAAAGCAAGTTTTTAAAAGGATGACAAATATGAATTTAAAATGAAAATAAAGTTTATACGTCACAATATTTGAGAAAAGGCACCTAAAAGAGTAACATTTATTTTCTTCTAGAAAGGCAACACAGAGGTTGTTAGAAGCATGGACTCTGGAGTCAGCTGTGTTCTCAGGATAAACCTAAGCAAGTGAGTAACTTCCATCCTCTATGCTTCAGAGAGCTGTTGTGATGATAAATTACTTCAGAAGGTAAGTACTTAGAGCAATGCCTGGCACTTTTTAAGTGCTGCAAAAGTACCGTCATAAATATTATTTAATAACATTAAGCAACAATGGCAAAGAAAGGACTAGAATGGCAGCTATAAAACTTAAAGCATTAAAAGCAGTTGATTACTTCCATAGGGTTTGTTGTTTTTGTTTTGTTTTGTTTTGTTTTTGTAAGTGAAATACAACTTTTTGGGGGGGGTACATAAAGCATATTGGATTCTGTGTGACACTTTGAAACTTTTCAATTAAACTTTTTCAAAAGTTACCTTAAAGGGGAAACAAAATCTGCATCTAATTATGGAGACCCTCAACCATTTACAAACTTGTTTCCATGATTTAGGAATGCACTAATAAATGGAGGCTACATTTATTTAATGAGAGGAAAAAGCTTTGCACCAATAGAGAAACTTTCATCCCAACAGTGCCTTCAGAGACAAATAATAAATAGCCTACATGTTAAAAAATCAAAGTATCCAAGGAACAGATTTCCAGCTAGTAAACCATTAAGCATCTACAGAGAAATCAGAGGTCAGGCGATGTTGACTCTATCACATATTCCTGGTACTCATACTCTCCAGTGCCAGGGCAGCCCCCCAATTTGCCTACCTATTACCCTAGTATCCCAACTTGGCCTTTTCACTCTGTACAAGGCATCACCTGGTAGGCAAGTTTTCTCAAGAGGGGACTGGCCCCTCCTCCAAAGACACCTCTTTACCCAAGATGAATTAAAACGCACTTGCTCATTGATCGGTCATTCCTTACTACTCGAGGTCGGTTCCTGTTCAGCTACACTGAGCTTACAAGAAATACATTCTATCAAGCTGCATCACAGAAGCTGCATTTTTCAACAGGAGCCCCAAGGATTCCTACACAAAATAAAGTGTGAGAAAGTCACTTGACTCTACCGTAGGTGGTGTTTGTAAACATTAAAAAAGCTCAAATTTACACTTGCACGCAGATAAGTATGAAAATTACCAAGACATGGAATCAGAAATGCTTTTTAAGAGAAATAACGAAAACATCAAGAGTGGTCAGTTTTATTTTGAACAATGCCTACACTGTTTCCTGCTTTATGTCAGCATTTTGTGGCAAGGGCACAAAACTAACCTAGTTTTATCAGTCCGGTATACCGGTTGCAAGGACAGTACCAAAGAATGACTGGGTCTAGAAACTCTAAATTGATCCAACACAACAGCAAGGTGTGCAATCTGCAAGTTACAATTCCAGGAAGGAGCCCGATTCAGAGCTAACAAAAACTCTTTCCCAAGAGGCACTGAGCAAAAATAATCCAAAAGGTGTACACTTTAGACACAGATCCTATTTCTGGAAATAAAACTTCCGAAGAGCTAATACTGACCAAACTTTTGATCACTTGTACAGAGGAAAACTGCTTGAACGTTTGTATTATTTTCCCGGAAATGGGGGTAGAGGGAGGAGGGAGGCAGAGGAAGAGTCAACTTTCACCCTCCGCAAAGTTTTTCTCATTTCCAGAAAGACCTCAACGTGCACGTTCTTACAGGTGAACAAACTCAAGTTGGACTGAAACAAGGTCACGTTCCTTTCCTCAAAAGTAAAAAAAGCTTCGTTCTTCCAGAGGCTGCATTTTCAATGCTTTTGGGATTTCGGCCCGTTTTGCTTCCGGCCTGCGAAGGAAGCGTGCAGCGGGGCCGAAATGAACAGGAAATTTACCAAGTAGGAAGTGGCGTGGGGTTCAGCCGCGGGGATCTGCAGTCGCTGCAGCTGGCCCTGCAGCCTGGACCCCCACCTCCGCTGGGAGGGGCGGCAGGCCAGCTGGGGAGCAGCTCCAGGCCGTGCCCTCCCCGGAGCTGGGGAGCCACCCCTCCGCCACCCCACCCCCACGCCCCTCCGAGGTGCGACTCCGCGTCCCCGGGAGCAGCGGTGGCAGCAGCACCCCCAAGCCTCCCAGTGGGGCGGCAGCAGCTGCGGTGGCAGCGCGAGGGGCCGGCAGGACTGGTCCTGGGAGGCGGAGAGGGAGGCCGGGCAGGAGCGACTGCATGTGGGGGCTGCACTGGAGGAAGGCAAGGCGCTCGGGTCGGGGGGCGGGGGGGACACCCCCGAGCTCTGTTCTGATTATCGTCATCATCATTTGTTTTACCTGTGGCGCAGAAGGGCTCCCCAGCTCCCATGCCCTGAATCCTCCTCCCCTCCTCTTTCTCTCTCTCTCTCCCTCAGTCTCTGCCGGGTGCTCCTGGAACCGCTCGGGCCCAGCCCGACCAGAAAGAGAACAGGGCGGGAGGGGGCGGTGGCGGTGACCAGCGACCACGTGACCACGCTCGCGCCGTAACGGCGGCCGCCTCCTGCCGCGCGCCCTCTCGGTGCTCCACCTCTAATAACCCCGAGGCTCGCGCTCAGGGATGCTGTGCGCAGGCGCCCGCCCGGGCCTGGAGACTACGCGGGCGCGCGCTCACAGTCGGGGCCAGCGCTGCGGGGGCCCCAGGAAAGCAAGGTGGGGAGTGAGCCGCGCCGGACAGGCGGACAGGCTGCCCGTGCGCATGCGCGGCCCGCTCCACTCTCCCGCCTGTCTAACGCGCGCCTGGAGGCTGGGAACCTGCCCCTGGGATTCAGCCCTTCCACTCACCTACTCAGGAGGGAACCGAAAGACAGAAGTCAGCCCCAGGACCCGCTAGGAGGCCTCCCTCTGGCCTAAGAATTTACATTTCCTTGTTGCATGTAAATTGCCTTTCCTCAGACCTTTTTTGTTCTGTAACTCGGTGGACTCCTATTCATGCTTCAAGACCCAGTTCATCTGTCACTTCCTCTGAAACTTCCCCCTGTCTGTTCTGGGAGAGTTATTCACCTCAGGTCTACTTTGATAGAACCCTTTGACATGTATGTTATTTTGTTAAATACATACAGTACTAGGCTCAGATTTTATCTCACTTCTGATAATCTGGTATGTGACTGCATATGTTATGAGAAGGCTGATGGCTATCAGAATGAAGGCAACCCCTTCGGTTGCCTTGACCTCTACTTAATCATGATTTAAGATCCTCTTTACCCCAAGCAGGAGGATGCCAGTGTGAGTTTCCCCAATATGAATGCCTACGAATGGCAATTCTAATTAGGTGATAAATGCTTCACCTAGTAAAAGAAAATTTATGGTCACTGTTAGCCTATCTTCACAAAGAGTGCCAAAGGAAATGAATAGGTTGAATGCAGAAACAGAAAACCAAGGCAGAAGAGGTCACATTTCCTAAAGCTTGCTAGCTTCCAGAGGAGAGGCCCTGTGTGGGGGACTATGTTTATGAACAGTCAGATGCTCCCTCTCATAGTGATGACTCCCTCTCTTTATGTTTACCCTTCCTTGGTGCAAAAGCTGGACAGGTTAAGTGAGTGGCATTGGCCAGATTTAATCAGAGCAAATAATTAAAATATAAACACTAACTGGCAGCTCTGGCTAAACCAGTTACCACTATGGTTAAACTACTATCTGTCAAGATGATTCTCAAATAAAAGCACTAGATGTAAAATCCCAAAACATGTTGGGATAAATATTGATCAGAAACAGTATTAACAAGGGCTTCCGAAAATCTAGGAAAATCACAGCCATCAAGACTCCATTCTTGTACATCGGTAACACTGATGGACTTTTCTCCCCACTTGCCAATGTATCCCTTACAAAGTGGTCCTACATAATAGAGCCAGGTGGCATTCTCTTCTACGCATACAGCCCAAGGTTCAGACTCTGTGGGACTCTCTTATTTTGCTAACCCGTAATGAGTCATGTCCCTGGGTTCACACCCTGGTGTGATTCTTTGCCCTAAAATCTGGGCTGGACCTACCCGTGGTAGACTATTAAAAAAATGGCTTTGCCTGTTCCAGGTCAAGACTCTAGGAAAGGTTCACACAGATCTCAAACTTCACCAAATTCTGTAAGCCTGGAAAATAGAGACAATTAAGAACCCCTGCCAAACACACATCCACCCTTTTGTGTCCTGGGCAATACATTTAGATGAAACTCACCATCTAGCTTTCTCATGTAACTAGCTGATGACTCCTTGTTCATGTGACAAGCCAGAAGCGACTTTTCCATTTTGCCTTAACCTGTTGACAAAGTAAGACACGTTGTTTGTGTCATGAATGATTAACTGAGAACTGTCCGTCCCCTTGAAATTAGCTAGTTACAGAGATCAACATCTCCTGCCTGAGAAGATGCCCCCTGATTACAAAACAGTCCCAATTGCAATCATCTCAAACATAACCTCTCTACTCCTCCCTGTGAAAGCATAAGGCAAAATACTGATCTTTTAAATCTGAGTACTCTCCCTATTGCAATAACCAGGATAAAATCTCTTTCCTTGCTTACTTAGTATTCATTTTTGCCCTGAGTTGTATGGGGAAAAAAATCATTTATTCCAAGACTATTATGCTGTGAGAAGTCTAACACAGCCACGTGGATAGGCCAAATGGAAGGAAATTGAGGACCCTGAAAAACATCTCCCACTGTGCTCCCCTCAACACAGCACCTACCTGCCAGACATGAATGAGGCCATCTTGGAGATGGATTTTCTAGCTTGTCGAATGACCACAGCTGATGTCACATAAAGAGACAGGCTGTTCTCTACTATGCTATATTTGCAGAATTACAGGCAAATAAAAGTAAATTAAAAGTATAATAAAAGTAAATAAAAGTATTGTGTTAAACCGGGCCCTCCCTGGTGGCGCAGCAGGTTAAAACACAGTATTAAGAAGCTAAAGCCACTTTAGCATGAGTTCACTCCCTGCCTGCCCCAGAAGTGACCCACATGGCGCAGCAGACTTCTCCTGACCTAGCTGCTGTACTTCGTCAGTTGGCCTGTCTCTGGTGAGTCCTCTCACCGCCCCTGCACAATGTGGCCTGTACCCCAGTGCTGTATGTATAAATAAATAATTCTTAAAAAAAAAAAAAAAAGTATTGTGTTAAACCACTGACTTCTGTTGTAGTTTGCTAGGTAGCAATAAATAACTAGACAAGCACTACATACCCAGCTGCCTGCTAGAGATGTATCTCAAATGCTCCCATAAGCACCACAGAGTCAACCTGCTCAAACTGAGTTTTTCAAATTCTCTCCCAACTTGTCCTTTTTCCTGGGTCCTCTGCCTCCACTAGTGGTGTTTCACACCTCACGGGCCCTCAACCGATAACCTGGTAACTTTTCTTGGTGTTTCCTTATCTTCTCACAGTCACCAAGTAATAGGTTTTCTTCTCTATCCCGAACAACCTCCATTCACCTCAGAACTTGAGCATCTCTCTCCTGAAATAATGAGGATTAGTTTCAACCATGTTGTATGGAAGATCCCTGAATGTGGCCAGACTACCTTAGAAGTTTCCTGTCAGCAGGAAGTCAAAACAACTGGGCAACTGGCCCAGTCAGCTCCTGTCATCTGTGTCTTATGGTTTCAAGCCTGGGAGTCGCAAATGGCCTATGGAAAGCCATAGCAATAACCCCATCCTTTAGGTCACAGCAGAAGCTGTAGGGATCCAGTTTCACTCTGACTTCTCACTTCTAGTCTCTTAGTAGAAAACCTGAGTGCTTGGCTGTCCCCACCCAGTCAATGCAGAGTGCCCTGTGGGCTGAAAGTGGCCTGCAATCTAATATAAAAGAAGGAAACTCAAGTAATAAAACCCATGATTAATACTGCCATAAAATATAAACATTGTATAAAAATTCATGGAGTTATGTGACTTATAGTTCATATTCTTTTTTTTTAAGCTCTTTTGCTATTTTTTAAAAGATATTTATTTATGCATACAGAACTGGGGTAGAAGTCAGAGGTGCAGGGGTGGTGAGAGGATTCACCAGAGACAGAGTGGGGAACAGAACAGGCAGATCAAGGAAGTACACTGCTGAGGGGTGCGGCGGGCAAGACAAGAGAGGTCTGCTGCGCCATGTGGTTCACCTCTGGGGATAGGGACCAAACTCGCACTGAAGCGGCTGCAGCTAGCTTGCCTTGCTGCATCCTTACCTGTTGTGCTACCAGGGAGGGCCCATAGTTCATATTCTTATGGTGGAAAAATTATATTTGAACAGTATCAGATTTCTTAGAAAAATAATAATTAAGACACATAAGTTTGCAGCTACTGGTGTGTTGGCTGATTCTCTGCTGTGTTACCTGTGCGTTGTGGTTTCAGGAGAGATCAATATTTCAGACAAATAAGTTCCCTTGAACTTAGAAGAAACTATATCAGTATCTATGGGTATATGGAGAATGTCAAATACCTGGATACCTGGCCATTTTCACACCCTTACACATTTCATTATCAGAGCATTAATGAGCATTTCATTATTTCATTATTGAGCAGCCCTGCTCAAAATTGCCTTTAAAGATCATAGAGTAGTTTGAAACATCAGCTACATGGTTTATACCACTTTGTTCCTGATCCTGTTATAACGTTTATCCCACTATGCTTTGACCAGCTGCTAAATATCTGCCATTCCCTAGACTGTGAGTTCCTCAAGGGCAATCACAATATCTTAGGCATCTTTGCATTTGCATTGCTTTAAGGAGAGAATAGAGTTTAAGTGCCTACAGAAGTAGACTTGTCCATTTCAAATCCCAGCATCCCTTCCATGCTAACAATGTAACTTCTAGCAAGTGGATTAACTTCTATGGTTTCAGTTCCATCTGTAAAGAGGGAAAGTCATTGTCTTTAACATGTCAGGTTGAGATGATTTACTATAATGCATTTAGCATATAGTAACCATTCATTAAAAGGGATTATTTTTCTGCTATATTGTTTTATATCTTAGAAAAATTGGGGTTCCCTGTTTGCATACACAAACTAAACTATGAACTTGACTTTGGACATCAGAAAAACAAAGGATTTTTTGCTGTTTTGTCTGAACCATTCCTATGATAGCCCTTAAATGCCTAAAGCCACATCTTAAGCTGTTATCATGAAAGCATCATATCTCAAAACATTATAAGGGGAAAGAACTTTTAGGAGAGGAACTATCGGTGTTGACTTTCAATACTTTTGTGAACAATGGACAATGGACTCATACTTACATAATATGCCAAGTTATTTATTTGACACTTTTGTTCTCTGTATTAGAAATTATTACCACTGGATTACTTTTTCCTAGTCAATTATATACAGATGGTCCTTAGCAAACCACATTCCACAGTGATTTTATAGTATCTGTATGCCTTGTGAGACATTTTTTTTTTCCAGGTATGGTCTGAAATTTTGTGCCAAGAAAAGTGTAAATAAGCTACAT